TGTCTTACCTTTCCATCGATATAAAATGGACCTAAATCTGATATCTACAGCTCCAGATATGATCAAATTACTGAACGGTGTTCGAGTTTGGAATGCACCAGCAACACTTTGCTAAGTTTGGCCTTCTTTTTATCCTTTCAATTTCAATCCTTAAACTCATCAATCAATCCTTTTATTTATGTGATAGACCTGCATTTAGGATGAACATTTACCATGAATTAAAGGTATATTATATTTTTAGACTTGCTAATATAAAACATGCTTTTGTTAGGGAATTTAATGATACTTTAGGTGCAATATGATGACATAAATCCTTAATGAGAATGCACTTTTAAGTACTAATCAACTGCTGAACAATTGATTGACCAACTACAATCCTTCATTCCTGTAATTGATCCTTCCATGAGTCGCATAAATTGGTCAACTAAGGAAAGCCGTAAAAAGCTTAGATTGAATTTGAGCCTTCATTTGTGAATTTTTGTGTCTTTTGGTTTTATTATTGTGTTTTGTTATTTCTTATTTTTGTTTCAGTGTGTTTCAGGTTTTGTCAGTGTTTGTTATTTCAGGTGATATCTTCTATACTCTATCTTTCTACCTTAAAACATTGAGGACAATGTCTCGTTTTGGTTGGGGGGAGAGGGTAGTAGTTGATAAAAAAAAAATTGTTTTTCATTTCATAAAGCATGTGCATAATTGTTGTTACTAGGATGGCAGAGTAAAGGAGTTCTTTTGTTAAAGTGACTCTTGAGACGCTGAGCTTTTTTATTAAAGTGACTCTTGAGACGCATCTTAGTAACCATTCTTAACAAGGTCTATTATAATACTTCTTGAAATATTCAGGTTTACAAACTCTCGCATTGTTATCACTTAATTCTGCTCATATACTTATTTAACATGTATTCTTAAACCTTAATTTACACACACACTTAATTTACACACACATATTTTAACATATGATTATGGGTTGCATATTGGATTATTACACTATTTATGTTCTTTTGTTAAAGGTAACCACTAAGGGAAAGGGATTGTATATAATTAAAAAAAAAGAAAAAAAAGAAAAAAAATGATGATAATAATAAAAATGTAGATAAGTTTGGTTTCGTAGCCTCCCTAACCTAAGCAATTAAGCCCGAAGGGGTGTTTTAACACCTAATACCCTAAAGTCAACGGGTGTTTTAATTGGTTTCGTAGCCTCCCTAACCTAAGCAATTAAGCCCGAAGGGGTGTTTTAATACCTAATACCCTAAAGTCAACTGACTTGGGAGCTATTGGCCCAACGCTTATTACATGGGTTGAGGAGAAAAGCTTAAGGAAATCAAACATTGCACTATCTACATATCAGTATCTGTGACCCGAGTTACTAAGTTCGTAGGGGTGTCTTAACACCTAATGTCCTAAGACCAACTGGTCTGGGAGTCATTAGTGAAAGCTCGTTACATGGGTTAATAATGCATGGTGTTTTTAAATTATATGTATATATATTTAAAAAAAACAAGAAAAAAAAAAAGAAAAAAATAATAATCCCAACCCAAGGATGTTAACCTTAAACATTAGAACAAAAATTTTGTTTTCTTCCAAGAAAAGCCCCATAATTATGTGTTGATACATTGAACACAAAAGAAAGGTTTGTGAATATCTTGTGGAATTTCCAATTTTTTTTTTATTTTAACGCTTTGATTACTAGGGACTGGTAATAAGCTGATTGGGGGGTGTGATTAGTACTTAAAAGTGCATTTTTATCATGGTTTTATATCATCATTTTGCACTTGAAGTATCAATAACTCCTTAACTAAAGCATGATATATAATAATATATCTAATAATATAAGATACCTTTAATGGGTGGTAAATGATCGTGTTAAATGCAGGCCTATCACATAAATGAAAGGATTGATTGATGACTTTAAGAACTTAAATTGCAAGGGCAAAAAGATGACCAAAATTAGAAAAGAGATGTCGATGCAATCCAAACCGGAACACTGTTCAGTAATTGGGTTATATCTGGAGCTATAGATCTCAGATTTAGGTCTATTTTATATGGCTGAAAAGGTAAGACATAGACCTATAACTTTCATATGGAGCCCAAGATCTAAAAAGGCCATTTTCAAGTCCAATTGTAGCAACAACAAAGAAGTCCGAATCTGTCCTCCAGCCCGAGCACTGTTCAGTATTTTGGCCATATTTGGAGTTCTAGAAGTCGAAATGAGCTGAAGTTTTTACACAAGAAAGCTGAGACAATTGCCTACAACTTTCATGTTTTCAAGTTGCTCTAATTTTGATGTTTCAATGACGTTTTGGGTAGACAAGAGAAGATAAGGATTGTCAATAACCGACTTGTTTGGCTTGAGTAATAAGGGATTTAGAGCTTGTGTGTAGGCAACATATACCTTTATATATTTCTTTTAAAAAACAAGTGCTTTCTTTCAGGGATAACCACTTTAGTAATGTAGTTTAGATAGATCATAAATATAATACACTATTAATTATACAATACCTCATTGCTTGCTCAATCAAATGAGTGATTTCATTTTGAGGGTGACTCCTCACTAAGCAAATAATGTATAATTGGGGTCCTTCAATCTTCCTCAATGCTAATGAGAAGAACCACCAACTCCCACCAACTCCTTTTCACCTATACTAGGTTTCTTTAAAACTTCAACCCAGATATTTGTACGGATGTTGACAGGATTTGAACTTGCTAACTTTGACAAGAGGTCTTGCCAATGATTATCTTTCATTGGAATACAAGTGATTGAAATATTTTTGTCTCTAACTTCCAAATATGGTTAAACTTTCTAAAGTTAGCATTGCATGATTGACTCTTTAGCTTTATACCCTTCTTGGCATTGAATAGCCACCAACTATGAGTCACTATAAACATGAAGTGAGTATGCATTCAAAGTCTCTACAAGGTGTAATCCTGCTAGAAGAGATTCATAATTTGATATATTATTCATAGCTAAGAACTCAAAGCAGACTTCATATTCAATTACTTGTTCTTCAAGATTGTTGAGCATAATTTTGGCTCCACTTCTATTGATTAGAAAGGCCATCAACATATAGTTTTCAGGTAGAGATCATCAGAGGGTGTTCTACTAGGGCTTTTGATTTAGCAAAAAAAATTGTTAAAGGTGAGGATTCAAATGTCTCAATGAGACTTTTAAAAGAACATTCAACAATAAAGTCTACCAAAACTTGATTCTTTATAGCTTGTTGGAGTTTGTACTAAAAGCCAAACACTTCTAATTCAATGGTATATGGAGGATGCATTCACAAAGGTTGATATGTTAAAAATATGACTTTGTGAGCTTGTAAGTATAGTTTTGACTTTCAAGAGGTGCGTATCAAAGCAAGGGCCTTCTTATCCACTTTTAGATATCTTGTTTTAGCATCATAAAGAGTGAGGCTGAATTAGTAAATTGGATGTTATGTTCCTTCACCCTTTTTTACCAAAATAGAGCTTACAACTATATTTGCCACCCCTAGGTAAAAAAAGAGATTTTCATTCTTCTTTGGTTGAGAAAAGATCTTGAGAGATGAAAGATAAATTTCAAGCTTCTTAAAATCTTTTTGTTAATTCGAAGTCCACTCAAAATTAGTTATGTTTATCAATGTCTTGAAGAATAGGAGGGTATGCTTCAAAAAACAAGTAATGAATTGATTAAGAGTATCAAATCTCCTTGTAAGATGTAGAACTTCACTAACCAATGAATCATGCTTAATATGGATTGAATCTTTTTTGGATTAGGCTCAATTCTCTTATTGCTCAATAGGAAACCCATAAATGTCTCTCCTTTGATGGCAAAAACACACTTGGAAAGGTCGAGTTTCATCTAGTGATGACTCAATATAAAAAAGACTTTTTCTAGGTCCTCTTTACTAATATGTCATTAATATATCCCTCTATAATCCTTTCAAGTTGATTCTTGAGTATTTTATTCACCATCTTTTGGTAAGTAGCTCCAACATTCCTTAACCCAAAAGAGATAATTGTATAACAAAATGCCCCCTTTTTAGTTGTCAAAGTTGTTTTTTCCTTATTTGCTAACTAGGTAGGGTATATCACTTCTCTAATATAGCTAGCATCTAGGAGCTTATCCACCTCTTGTGTTATTTCTTTATGTTTTTCAACCCTAAAATTCCTTTTTTTTCAGCGAACTAGATGAATAGTTACAATTTAAGGTCTGATTCTTGGCACTTTAGAAATGCTAGACAAGTACTAGGGGTTAGTTTTTCCATTTAGACAAGTATAAGAGCATTTCCTCAAGGTCTATCCAAGATGAAAACTATCTATTAGACATCATTAATGAAGGACAAGTATCCCTTACACGTTATTAATAAGATGATAAATGTGGTAAATCCTTTGAGAGATCTTTTATACATTTATTAATGTAGGGAAATGATTATTCCTTACATAAATAGTTCATGTAAATAATATGAATATAAAACTTTATGGGTTTAATATAGATCTTTAAGTCCAACTAGGTTTGACGTATAGCCAAACTTAGAAAAAATAGATCTGACAGCTTATTAAATTCCTTATGACTGAACCTCAAATATATTGAACCTACTTTTTTACTGGATTAATAGTGATTCAGGTTCAATTAATAGCTGAATCTACACATATTAGGTTTAATATTTTATCAAATTGATGATAATTTGAGTTCAATTCATGGCTGAATCTAAATATGTTGAGTTTAGTTTGGATTAACACTCTATTTATAGATTTGGAGTCTTTTGAATACCAAAATATTAAATAGAAAAAACCTACTCATCGCAATACAGTACCACCATCTCATTGTTGATCTACAATCAAATGATCAGAGTCCTGAGCTAAAGAAGTTGCTTGGGCTATGTGAAAGTAATCAACGTGAAAGGTGAAATGAGTTTCGAATACTAAAAGGGCTGCTTCGAGGAATGTCGCAAATTTAAAGTAGATTCTAGTACCGTAGTAACTTTTTGTTACCTCAAATTTAACACTAAGGACAAATATAAATGTTGGTAATTGCTTTCTAGCTTTATGCATATGAATTACAAGTGTGGTTGTCATGTCTACTTCAATATACAGAACGGCTTCAAGACGCCAAAAGCAAATATTGGGTCTCACATCATGATGGAGATTATCACTCTTCTCCTCCTCTGCTTTCATAAGAAGTGAAGAAATTAAAATAAAAAAGAAAACAGAAAAGAAATTGATATTTGTTGATATACATGATTATGACCAGAAGTGCAAACACTAAACGCCATTGAATATTTTTTGCCCTGGCGATAGGATATTCTTTGGATCGTATTTTGCTTTCCTCTCTCGAAAAGTTGTCCATTTTGAGCCAAAATGCTTAATCCATTCTTCTATGGTTGTATAATCAGCAAGATATTTCACAATCTTGATACCAGCTTCTTCACAAAATTTAATAATTGCTTTATTTTGATCTTCGTAGACCTGCCAATTATCAATCCCACCTGTATGCAAGAACGATGTTGTATAAAAGATGTCTTCATCTGGTATAACTGCAGACAACTGAGCATCCCATCTGAAATTTTAAGGAAAACTTTTATTACTGTTGATGTAATTTATATATATATATATATACACACGTTTTTTTTTTAGGATACTATTACAGGGTACTTACTTGTGTCGGTTCAAAGGGTAAAAGAGGACAGGTCCTGTGGTGATGTTTCTTTTAAGAACAATATCTCTCAAGACACCTACATTGAAATCTGAAATTCGAGATTTGGGAATAAATAGATTTTGCCATGGATGTGTCTGTGATTCATTCTCAGCATTTGGGACTCTCGTCAGAAATTCTTGATGGGAGACAAATTTTGCATCGATGAAACCAGGAACATGAGCGAAGTGTTTGAATACTTCTTGTAAATCCTATAAGAAAACAATGGCCAGATTCATTATTAAACTAATGTATGTAAGAGAAATACATATTTTACTTGTTGATAGTGACTACTAACTTATTCATTTTTCTTTTTGAAAAATACGTTCACAAGAAAATACATATTTTTAACTTGAACTACGTGTAAAATGTCAACTGATATCTAGTTTATATAATATTCGTTGCATAAAATAGAATATCGATTAGACTGAAAACTTGTCATTTCGTTTTAAAAATATGTTGAGTAACATTAACATCTTTTGAAATATCATGAAATTACATAGACATCTTTCAAATGTGAAAATGTTTTTGTCAAACTTTCGAGAGATCATGTAATTAACCTTATAGAATGTACTATATAGATAGAGATATAATTATTAATATGATGGTGAACTTGATTACCTGGTCTATTTCACTCTCTATATCTTCTATGAAGTAGTACTTGGTAAGCTCTAGACAGTAGATGATACCATATGTTTTAACCAAGGACATAATTTGAGGGAGCTGAGTTGGATGAAAAAAGGAGGTTATCCACTCAGTTGGAGTGCCATTATCCAACACAAGTGAACCTTCCAAATAATTGGCTACATCTCTGTGGCCACCCCTAACTATTCTTTCTTGGTCTCTGATAAAATCAGAGAAATTACTGTAAAATGCTCGAGACCACCTAACCTGCAATTGAAAATCCCCACATGTCAGGCACAACATATGAACATTTTGTTAAAAAGGCTGTACAAATTGTTGGAGCTAATTAATAGTTTATTCCTATATTTAAGATTTGATCGAAATATTCAAATTGTTGGAAACTTTTTAAATTCAGCATGCCTGTCTCTTTCTTTCTTTGAGTTTAGCACCATTATTAGGCATGTAACCAGATGTCAAAACATTCATTCATGCTTAATTGAAAAATTGTTAATGGGAGAGAGAGCGAAGCACAACTCCCTAGCTTTGTATAATTACTTTTGTTGGTGCCGACCTTAAAGCAATCCTTGCTCTAGTTATAATCCCAAATTGGCCTAAACCTCCCAGAACAGAATCAAATAGATCTGAATTATTTCTTTTAGAGCAGGTCACAAGCTCCCCTTTTCCTGAATCAAGAAAAAACACAATGCTATCAAGTAAACCCACTTTTCTTTTCTTCTTTTTAGGCCTATTTCTTACTGAAAAAACAAAGTGAAGATATATTCAAGGGAAACATACCAGTTATAACATCTAGTTCATAAACATTGCTAATCTGAGGACCATGCAGAAATGTTTGCCCACTGATTCCAGCATTAGAAAGCGTACCACCAACACTTAGGTACAAAAAGTCGGTCCACGACACAGGTGAAAGTCCCTGTGCTGCGGTGGTGTGTAACACATCAATCCATAATTGCTCACCTCCAACATCAGCGAATAAATGGTTTCTAGAAACCCTAATTTTGATCCCAGTTTTATTTTCTCTCAAACTTTTCATATCCACTACTACCCCATCACGAGCCATGTCCTGTCCATTAACAGAATGGCCATTTCCCCTAACAGATATACCAAAAGGAATGGGACAATTGTATGAGGATTTTACTAGTCTTTGAATATCTTCAATGGACGATGGATAAAGAACAGCAGCTGGTTCGCTATGGACTATGTTACCGTAATCAGTAGATGCTGAATCTATGGCTACTGGATCAACATGAAGCTTAGTTGCTAGTTCAGGTGGTAGTGGGCATGTCAACGCATTTGATTTTCCTACGGTGCACAAAAAATATGTTACTAGCAACATAACTATGAGATGGATTGGAGGTGAAGGACTTTTCGCCATAATTTTAATTTTTTGAAAAAAATCAAGGAGATGAGAGGAGGACAAGGCTCGAGGATGGTGGTGATTAGTGAAGACGAAAGGAGGGGTGTGCGTGTGCATTTATAGTTGGCCATTGTTGGTTTTGCTTAATTGACAAATCTTTGAAACATCCTAAATTCTACAGGCATGCCGTATTTTATTGCTTTTGTAGATTTGTCTAAATAATTAAAAAACTTACAAGGTCATCAACCTCGTAGTGGTTTCTTTACGTCTCTCACGGGATGGATTGACTTTTTCTGTCAACATATTTTATTTTGTTGGCGGAGGAGGGCGGCGGGGGAAGATTGACTTTTTCTGTCAACATATTTTATTTTGTTGGCGGAGGAGGGCGGCGGGGGAAGGGGGAGGATGAGTTGACTTGGAATGTTAATTTATTTTATTCTTTTTTTTTTTTTTACATGGGGTGTCCGGGCCAGCTTACGCGCACCACGACTAATCCTCACGGCCCACTGAACACCCTGCAAACCC